CTCCCACCTGCCCCACCCCAACTCTGAAATATCCTTTCCCTCTCCTTTTCTCTTCCTCTTCCCTTTTCTCTCTTGTCACTACCCCCTTCACAGTCTCCCGTTTTATCACCATCTTAGCGGCTCCAATCATCCCAGCTCTCCCACCTGCGCCACCCCTCTTATATATATATCCTCTGATTCCTCTTTGATTTGAACCTGCTATGTCTCCCACATGCCATCAATGGGCTCGGTGTGTCATGCCTATATGCATCATGATTAATATCGCAAATTCAATGCATGTATGATGGCACACACAAAAAAACACATCTGAGTGTATATGATGGCTCCTCACAATGTGCCATCTATACGGTCAGAAGCCCTTTCATATGCCGCTCGGCAGGAAAAAGTAGCATATGGAGCACTTTTACTTGTGCATACTTGTGCCATCATTTTGTGAAGGAGTATAAGTCAACATTGCGAGTGCTGCACGGTCCTACGCAAGTAAACGACAAAGTTGAAGGGCAACTAGTAAGAGAAAAATGCCACTCAAAGTCGGTCCAAGGAGAAACACTGCCCTTCTTACAGGAAGAAACCTGATCAACTGCGTCAACTACATCGGAGTTGATTTGGGCAACAGCCACATCAAAGACCTACTTGGAGAGTCTACGTAGACTTGGAACGAAACCGGCAGCGACGTAGACAAACTGTCACACCCCAATAAGTTTCATGGCCTCGGAGGCCGTTGGTGAGCTGCGTCGTCTCATGCCTTCATTGTGTCAGGAGTCTTCCTAATGGGGAAAAAGAAAAGTAATGTAGTAATGCCTTTGTTACTAGTAGCGGTGCACTTGTTACTACATGTTACTACATGTTACTACTAGCAATGCCCTTAGTGGATAGTACTCCTTCATGGCCAAAGGAAGGGTCACCTCTTTGCCAAGCGCCACTCCAAACATCGTCATTTGGACATTTTGACCTCTTGGATAGCTGACCTCTCTTCCACTCCCTCCAGCTTCAGGTCCAAGGCGCTAAATTCAGGCGGGTCGAAAAGGCTACCTACTTGATCGAGCGCAAAACGAGTATCGCGCTAGAACATCTACCGCCCGCGGGCGCTACTTCGGAGCCAGCTAGCGGCCTAAACCTCCCCGAGGGTTTGCAACCACGGCCACCAGAGCCGAATCGTAGGGCGAAGTCTCCATCCTCAACACAAGGAAAATGTCAGTGCTTCCTGAAGGTGCAAAGTAGCTCACTGGCGAAGACATCACTTGCTGGCGTCGTGCGCGCTCTTCTTCTTGTTGTTTTGTCCTGCTCACGTGGCTGTCAGGCATCTAAGGCCCTTTAGAATATGGCCTCCACGCCTGCCGCTGCCACTGCTTCATGATAACAGGACTACATCCAAGCAACTGCACGACCCTTAAGGCCGGAAATGTCAAGCAAGTCGCTGTCACGAGTTCACTGCAGCCTGAGCCCCTAGTAGCGTCCTTGCTCCTAGTAGCGATGCCCTTTGCTGCTAGTAGCTTCTTGCTCCTAGTAGCGATGCCAGGAGCCCCTAGTAGCGTTCTTCTTCCTGATTGCAATGCCCTTCCTTCCTAGCTTCTTTGCCTTCATCACGCTTCCAATTTTGTTCTAGGAAAATTGTCTGGCGTGAACTTTACTCTGCCTCACGCCTGTGGACTCACAATGCGCTGTATTCGTCTAGTGGTCAAGAGGCCAAAGACATGAAAAACACCAGTCACCAACAATCGTGGACGCGCAGCACCTGAAGTACCGCTGCCAGCGGTTTCAGTCACTCCTGAACCCTATCCGTGCATCTAAGAGGTACTTGTAGGTTAGTTTTGCCTTGCTATTATATGCTATTATATAGGTTGAAGGCCATCGCTCTAGGTCTTGCCTGCTAGTTGCTCTCCCCTTTTCCTTTGCAGTTGCTGTAGCCTTTGCTGCAGCTTTTGCCCTGGCCTTCTCCTCCTTTGTCCTGTGTATGATATGACGGCGTGTGCAACTCCTTCCTGGTCCCATCCGTCATGCTCTTGCTCAACAATGATGCCCCCATCTCGCTGTAGCACGTGATCGGTCCAGCTCGAAGCGGCAAATATTCACACTCAGAAAATTTGCGATCAATATTTTTCTCGAATCTGGTACTGCTGAAGCGCGGTCTTGTCCATAGCGAAACCATCAAGTTGAGCAATATCTCCTGAAGCCGCTGTAGGTCTCGAAGCCGTTGCGGTTGCAGATGGGGCTGCTTCTCACTGCAGTAGCCGCTGCACCAGTGCAAATGCGAATGAATACGCAAAATTCAAATGTTGTATGCAAATGTGTGCAGTGTGCGCGCAAGTCTTTTGAACTTGCCTTAGAGCCTCTAAGTAAGTCTTTGTGTAGTAAGTAGTTCTACCCAAGACTGCTTGGGGTAGTTTGGCATGGTCGCGGTGTTGAAAGCACAAGCAGGTCTTGAAACGTCCGTTTTTGTAGCATATGCGAGATATGACACAGAGTGTCTCTTGACATATTGTGCAATCTGCCTTTTTGATCACGCTTGGGGCAATAACCCTGCCCCATTGAACCCAAATCCTTGTCACTATATAAATCAAACAGGGCCAAACATTATTCAACGAACAGCCAACACGATGTGGCCTTTCCGAAACTACAGGGCTTGGGGTCACATCCTTTAAGTCAAGTCACATCTCAGCAAAAGTTGTAGCAATCAAAGATGATTGGTGAGCCAAGGCATCAACGTACAAAGCGAGTTCCTCCAGCCTGTTCACACCTTTTAGATACTTCGGTTCAATGGACAAGTCGTACCCCTCTACAAGCGTGTACTCACCCGTGGCAGTTATGTACCTGACAAGCTTGGCAAGAAAATGAGAGAAGCCGATAAATTGCAACATTCTGCCACACTGCCACACTCAATCTCGCAGTCACATAGTGGCTTGTATATTAGAATCACAACAGGAGTTTGCAGGCGGGTTGCATACAAGTCGACAAAGCACCAGCTACAAAGACCTCCTCTTGGTTCTCGCAAACCACCTTCTTCAGAACCACGCAAACACTTGAGAACACGTCAGGATAGAGCGATAGGGTCAAAGAAAATATTGGCACTTGCTCTATATATGCTGATCTCTGGTTGACTGAGAGCTCTGTTTGCAAGGTGTGGGAAATCAAGGTGCTATCAAAGGTGGTGGGCATCATCTTGTCCAATTTGTAGTCCACGAATTTCATTACTCTTGAGACCAATTCTAAGGAGGCATCTTGGCTGTGAAGGTATTGGCGGATCTCACAGCGTTGCTTGGTCTTGGCTTCGTTCATGCTTCGTAGCTCTACCATGGTTCCTGAAATCTTCGAAATGCCTGTGCCAATCACCACAAAGCAGAAAATTGTGATGAGAATGTCAAAGAAGCGCTCATCTCTGCTGTCTACGTCAATCATTGGTGGTGACGGCGCATCCATCACATAACGAAATGAGTGTAAATACTGGATCCAGGGTGTTGAACCATCAATTTCCGTAAATGTAAGCCAATTGTTCTTCTGGTCCATTAGCAAAGAGCGGCCCAGGCCGAACCAGAAGCATGTCATTACGTGGGCAACTAGCAAGATTGCAACGGTAGAGTTGATAATGGCCACCACTAGCATAATCCACTGTCTTCCTGTTGAGGCAGCAATCTCTTGCATTAGGTCCTGAGCAATCAATAGGCTCAGCAAAACCATCATTTCTCCCAATTTATCTCTACATGATGCATTTATATACATGCCATGCTGAAGCGAGCACATCTGCGACCGTCATTGCGAACCTGGGCTAGGCACATCAAAGCGAGCCATCTTCAATAGCCGAACGAGCCGAAAGGCCCGAGCAGCCCGGATGAAGCGCACTATGCCAAAACTACTCTCCTCCGCTTCCTGAATGAAGTTGACTAGCGTAACATAGTCCAGGCTCACGACGGCGGCATCGATTATGAACCTGAGTGTTGCTCTACATGGTCATTTACCAGTGAAGCAGTCTCGTCCAACACGCCCCTTTTAATTAATTGCAAACGAGTGCACAAAGGTCAGTGTCGAAGAAATGACTGGACAATGACCAAAAACCGTTCATCCAAGGACAATCCGAGAGACCAAGTTTGAAGGTAGTGCCGGACAATCAACCACCGAGAGAGCACCAAGTGCCCACGCAGGTAGAATGCAGTGTTGAGATTCGTCACAATGTCTAGGCTCCAAAAGGCCAGGGAGAGCAGAAACACGGTGAGCAAGAAAATTTCGCCCGTGTTCTTTGTTCCCTGCTGCCAACCCCATGCGAGCGACAAGGGCAACAGAATGCTATCTGCAAGCAGCAAGCAAAGGCCACAAAGGTCCCACACTACTCTGAACTTGCCCAAGGGGTGAAAAATCACCTGTCTGCCTCCTTCAAACTCTGCTGAGAGGCCAGAATGCTTGTGAGGCGAATAGCGTAGTGTTGACGAGCCATTTCGGCGGTAATTTGACAATGCTAGCAAATCCTCCGCCTGCATCGAAAGTTGCATCCACCGGTTATGCAAACGTAGTTCCTTCCCTGTACCAAGAAAGTTTGTAGTCTGGGTAAGCGAACTGATCGTGCCCAAAGGCCAGTACCAGCCTGAAGTGCTTTCCCACTTTTTTTCTCTGTGCTCTGTGAGGGCCTGTGGTTCCTGTAGCTGCCTCATGTCATCCACAGTCCCTGAACGCTCTCTCCTGTTACCTGTGAGATTTGAAGCTTCGCTGTTGCTATCTCTGGGTGAAACTAGTCTCTCTCCGAGAGGACTCCCTCCCCGTAGCCGTAGTTGGTCGTCTACCTGGTTTTGGACCAGGTTCTCCAACCAGAAAAGCCTTTCCTTGATCCGGTGCATGAAACTGTCGATTTCATCTTGCACCGCATGGATTGCCTCAAGCTGCTTTCCACTTTGGTCCGGCACAGGGTCATCCAACTGCAGGGGCATGGCTGACCCTGACTAGCTACGCCCGCTACAACTCCCTAGTTTAAGAACCATGCTGCGGGCCGCAATGAACATACTTGAGCAAACCAGATTCATGGTTGTCTCAGTTCTCTCATTAGGTATTAATGACTCCAAGCTCGGAGGAACTGGGCAAGTCTTGTTCCAGTAAGCAACTCAACCGCCTGTCCAAAAATAATGTTCTAAGGATCTGCACAATGACACAAACATAAGCACGATCTATTGCTGCCATCTTCCTCGCCTTCAGGGCCCCCACAGCAAATGTCCCCCTTGACCTTGACAGCAGCAATGAATCAAACGTTGAATTCAAGCATCTTTCTTCTGCTTGATGCTAGGAGGATCGAAAAGCCCTTTCATGTAATCAGTCTGTTGGATTGATTGTATAATATATATAAATTTGTTGTGATCCCACTTCGGACTAGTTCCACTTTGTCCGGTAATCTATTCCTGTCATTTCTTCGCAAACATCTAGCAAGCATGCAATTGCTGTCTAATTACTCGATTCGGAAGCACTTCATCATGGCCATCATGGTTTCTTTGCAAAACTGACTTGAGGCCGGAGGTGAACGAAAGCTAGGCGGAGGCTGGGTCGCAACAACATGACGGGGGCACCATCAGACGGCGCAGCACATTCACAACTCCAAGAAAATAGCAAACGGGGGCGGGAGTTGATCCCCAGGGGAGGCTATATGTGAAGAATTATGACAAATCACTGGGATTGACCTCAAGTGGCTTGTTTGCAAAATAAGGAAGACGGATCAGACTCCAGCTAGCTGAGACTAGCTTGAAGATGAGCCCTTTCAATCTCTTTCATGACACTCCCTTTCTGAGTTATGGCACTCTCAGCTCGTGGCCGAAACTGCGGGCATATTGCACAGTCAAAGCGTGCCCCTTGCCGTGTGAGAGCGTAGCATATCATTTGCTCGGCGCTCTCCCAGCTCTCGGTGATCAGAACCGTCTTGAGGCATGTAGTAGCTATATACTTGCTCCTAGTAGTACGGCCAGGAGCCCCTAGTAGCGTCCTTGCTCCTAGTAGCGATGCCAGGAGCCCCGTGGCGTCTTGTTACTAATATAGCAAAAATAGCTAAGCAATGCTAAGCACGTGTGGTCAAATGATGGGGAAACTTACACCATATTGCAAAGCAGTGTGGTAGTTGACACTTGGAATGCAACACAGTTCCCAAGAGCGTCTGCGAAGGGTCTTTCGTAAAAAACATCTGTAGAACATTGTAGAACTACGTCTCACCTACATCTTCACATCTTCACATCTACATTTGCACATCTACATCTCTGCTCATCTTCACATCTTCACACCTGCACATCTTCACATTTTCACACCTGCACATCTTCACATCTTCACTCCTGCACATCTTCACATCTGTACATACAGTATTCTACATCTTCACATCTGCGCATCTCACATCTGCGTGTCGTGCGTGTCGAGGGCGCAAAATGCAGGTGAGACTGCGTTTTGGATTTGACCCGCGCAACCCTCTGCGGAGATCGTGCGCGTCGAGGGCGCGAAGTGCAGGTGAGACTGCGTTTTGGATTTGTCCCGCGCAACCCTCTGCGGAGATCGTGCGTGTCGAGGGCGCGAAGTGCAGGTGAGATCGCGTTTTGGATTTGTCCCGCGCAACCCTCTGCGGAGATCGCGCGTGTTGAGGGCGCGAAATGCAGGTGAGATCGCGTTTTGGATTTGGCACGCGCAACCCTCTGCGGAGATCGTTCGTGTCGAGGGCGCGAAATGCAGGTGAGATTGCGTTTGGATTTGTCCTTCGCAACTCTCTGCGGAGATCGTGCGTGTCGAGGGCGCGAAATGCAGGTGAGATTGCGATTTGGATTTGTCCCGCGCAACCCCCTGCGGAGATCGTGCGTGTCGAGGTTGCGAGAGGATGCGACATGCAGGTGGGATTGCGTATAGTTTTTTGTACGCTGGGAAGGTTACGCGCGCCAATGGCTTATATTATTCATATTTTTGTGGCACAGAATGCGGGTAAAGTTTTCCAGTTTTTGAGAAAGTCTCGTGGAAAAGGTTCGTTTTGGACGCCTGTATTCTCACTTTGTTGTGGACTGGGCGGTGGTGACAGCGTTGTTCTTTGTTTTGGATTTGTGCGTGTATCCCAAAATTGCAAATTCGAGGGGTTCGTTCACGGGATTCTGTGCAGCAATTGAAGAGTTTGGACATGGAGCTGCTTCGAGCGATGACGTCGCCGTTGTGGTCGGAGCCTTACTTGGAGTCAGCGCTGCAAGGCGAGACATTTCCATAAAGCAATGAGATCATAGGCATTATTGATGGTCTGAAAAGATTCTGGAGCATATCTGTTTTTCATGACGCAATGGTGGTTGTGCAAAGAATTCGTTCTGCATCGGCGGACGCGGCGGAGGATGGATGAAGGAAGGCATCCGTGGTTGGAATGTACGGAGCTTGGATGTTTGCATGGAGGTAGTGAAGGCATTGCAAGTTTGAATGGGTAGAGTTTGCTTGCAGAACATGCTTGCGGAACAAGCTTTTGGTCCGAGTCGCATGCCCGTCACGCGTGTCATAGTAGTGTGGTGACTGTTCCATTTTTTGAAGGGATTGTCCGCGAGAATGGACCAGTTGCCGCGCTTGGAAGAGGGTTTGCGACTTCATGGCGTTGCATGGTTGGAGAGACGTTTGTCTTCTTTGCCTTTGACGACAAGGTTTTTCACTATTTTGTGGAAGCTGTTCATACAACATTGTGATCATATACCTTCTTGACGGCATGTCAGCCTGAGAGAATGTTGGATGTCATTTACAAACGCATTGCGGTACCGAGCTTTTGTATGAATATATATATATATGGATATGTTCATATGAAATGGTCTTAGTGTTTGCCTTTCCGGGCATTTTGGTACGGAGCTTCTTTCGCAGACTTGCATGGTAATTTTCGTATGAGAATGAGATCATACGCGTCGTTCACGGCAATTTGCGTATGAGAATGAGATCATACGTGTTGTTCACGGCACGTTGGTACCGAGTTTTCTTTTCGCAAGCTCTGGCGACGATGTTCGGCTTGAGAGCGTGTTGGATGCTGTTTACAACCTCGTGGCACCGAGCTTTTATATTTATATATATGGATTTTCACATAAACATGCATGGTCTCTGCCTTTGAAGGCATTTTGGTACCAAGCTTTTCTGGAGACTTTCATGCAAATTTCCCTACAAGAATGAGATCATACGCGTTGTTCAAGGCATGTTGGTACCGAGCATTTTTGGATGACTTTTACACGATGCGGTTTGCGAATGTGTCGTGGAAAACGCTCGTTTTGGAAGTCTACATTCTCACCTCACTTTTTGAATGTCTCGCGCTCGTTTTGAAAACTTTCGTTGTCAGTTTTTGCGAATGTCTCGTGGAAAACGCTCGTTTTGGATTCCTTCATTGTCAGTTTTTGCGAATGTCTCGTGGAAAACGCTCGTTTTGGATTCCTTCATTGTCAGATTTTGCGAATGTCTGTGGAAAACGCTCGTTTTGAAAAACTTCCTTTCTGTGCTTCCATGGTGTAAAGTTGCACGAGAACTTGCAATTGATGATTGTTCGTCGTATGCATGTGAGAATTTTTATATCAAAGTAACGCAGTATTTGCCTTTGACGATGCGTCGGTACCAATGTTTTTTCACAATTTTGTGGAAACTGTTCATACAACATTGTGATCATATACCTTCTTGACGGCATGTCAGCTTGAGAGAATGTTCATTTACAAAAGCATTGCGGTACCGAGCTTTTGTATGAATGTATGAATATATACATATATGGATATTTTCATATGAAATGGTCTTAGTGTTTGCCTTTCCGGGCATTTTGGTACGGAGCTTCTTTTGCAGACTTACATGGTAATTTTCGTATGAGAATGAGATCATACGCGTTGTTCACGGCATGTTGGTACCGAGCTCTTTTTTGCAAGCTCTGGCGACGATGTTCGGCTTGAGAGTGTTAGATGTTATTTCCAAACCTATATTGATATAACTATATGGATTTTTACATAAAATTGCATGGTCTCTGCCTTTGAAGGCATTTTGGTACCAAACTTCTTTGGAGACTTTCATGCAAATTTCCGTACAAGAATGAGATCATATGCGTTGTTCACGGCATGTTGGTACCGAGCATTTTTGGATGACTTCTACACAATTCGCTGCGCAAACATAGGGTTGCTTGTATCGTTGACGACATGTTGCTGTCGAACTTTTCGACGTCGCATATCCGGAGTCTTCGATGGTGACCTTGTCTTTACCACTTGCGTCTACCTCTGTCGTGGGATCGTTTGTCATCGTTGATGCAACGACTGATGCGATGCATGGCGGAGACATTTGTAGCCTCTTTGCTCTTAAACGCCCTTGCTTGTCTTCTGCTTCTCCAGGAACGTATTCAAAGCCATGGAGCAGGCATCTGCAACATTGCGACAGCCTTTGTTGGATCGTGTCAAAGAGCGGTACAATGAGATCTTCTTGGTGGGCCGGCACCTTGCGGAAGGCGCCTGCATTGCCTGCCGGGATCCACAACAGCTTTTTACGTCTACACATCTACGCATCTACGTCTACATCTGCGCATCTACGTCTACAACATCTTTCATCTGCGCATCTACGTCTACACACCCTCACCTCTGTACATTTACATCTTCACACGCTCCGCAGATCTACCTCTCTACCTCCACACACCCACACATCTGCATCACACCTGCACATCCGCACTGTCACTCCTTCACATCCGCCCTCTCTTTCTCTCTTTCTACATATCTTTTCTCTTAATATGTTAGATCTAATTTCTTCGCAACCTCTTACTCAATAACATATTGCATAAAGAAGTCATGGCTCTTGGACAGCTCGATTTTAACTATTTCCTTACTCGGAATTGCTTGACAATCACCTTTTTCATCCTTTTTCACTCTTGGGCCAACCGTCGTCTAGTTTTTTGAATTTTTGCTCGCAAGTCCACTGCCTCAACTTTCAGCAAATGTCGTTCACGCCGGGCCAACTCTTCTGTTATAGCCTGAGCATTGGTCCCAGGCAGTCCAAGGCTGAAGTCCAATGGTTGGCTCAATGAGTCATGTGCATTCCCTCATGAACTCAAACATGCGGCTGCAAGTTTCTTTTCCTGCTCGCTTTCAATTTGGCAATTTGGGCGAAGAAATGTCGCCTTTCTGCTGAACTTTGGAGGATGTCTGAAGAGAACCATCCAAAGGCACAAAGCGAATTCGCGATTGAGGTATGCTTCATCGTGCACTAGACTTCCCAACGCACATGAAAGGCAGGTCACGACCCTGGTGCCACTTTACAGCACCGGATTCTAGACCTGTCCTATCTATCAACCTACTGACGGCTAGACTCTCGCCACTCGGCAACGGACACATGAAAAAAGTCATTGGATTATAACTATAATTATAGGTTTACCGGCGGTTTACCTATGTATTTTTCTGATACTTCCCCCGCCCACACAAAACCGTGGATTGTCAGGCTCCTGCTTCCATTTCCCGAGTGTTTCCTACGTTTCAGGAAACCAAGTTGTGATGTTTTCTCTCGTTTAAGCTGAAAAGCACCATCTTTTTATGAATGCAAAAGTTGGCCTGCTTCTTTTACATACAGTCCAGTTCTTTTCTAGTCCAGTTCTTTTCTAGATGAGCAGCAAAACTCGTGACCCATGTCTTTTTGGCCCGCGGCTGATATGCCACCCCTGCGCCTGTCACGTATTTTGTTGTTCGGTGTCTGAGCGGTGGGTGGGGTGGGGTGGG